GTCTCTCATCTAGAACCCCTAAAGTTTGATAAATGCCGTATTTCCTTGAACCTGCCTTACGCCCAGCCCCGGGTGAGAGATCCAGCAGCCTTGTACTTCTATTTTAGTGGGAGAAACCTCACACCAGGAAAGAAATAACAAAAGGATTACTTGAGGCACCAGATGAGTGGGTCTCAGGCCACCATTGGGTAAGGGGAGCCACTTGGACAGGGTGGTCAGGGCTGGCCCCCCTATAGAGGTGACAAGTATATGGGAGCTGGAACAAGACCCAGGCCACCGTCTGTAGCTCTGTGACATCCCCCTTCCCTGCTCCCCCAGAGAGAGACACAAAGATTAAGCAGAAGGGGCTAAAGAAAGTGTGGCTGTAGCTCATGGTCGCACCATCGGGTTACAGGATATTTGGGGGCTAATCTTGTCACTTACTCTCCTTATTTTGAACCTGTTGTTCTCATCTGTAAATTGGGGACAAAAACACCCGTATTCTGTCGTTGCCTGCCCTTCCCTGCAGGGAGGTGGAGATGGCCCTTCACCAGGGCTCTGTCTCGGAAATCGTCCTGGAACAGAGTGAATGGGCCCAATCCAGGGCGTTCCTGCCATCAGAGTGCCAGGGCCTGGCCAGGTCCGTCTTTAGAGGGCCTGGGGCCTGGGTATCTTTTTTTTTTTAAATAAGCTCTGAGCATCATTGAACCTCTATTTATTTTCTTATTTTTTAACCCTCACCCAGGGACATGCTTTTATTGATTTAAGGAAGAAGGGAGAAGGGAGGGAGGGAGGGAAGGGGGGGGAGAGAGAGAGGAAACATCAATGTGAAAGTGAAACATTGATCTGTCGCCTCCTGCACGCACCCTGACCTGGGATCGAACCCACAACCTGGGTATTTGCCCTGACCTGGAATTGAACCCTCAGCCTTTCAGTGTACAAGAAGACACTCCAACCAACTGAGCCATGCCAGCCAGGGTGGGACTGGGTATCTTCAAGCTGCCCAAGGAACCGGCGCCAAGGGTCACTCTGACCCCTTCTGGCCCATCTCGGCTTCCCACAGTCTCCAGGGGTAGCAGCTTCCAGACATTCGCACTCCCTCCGGCCCCTGCTCGAGCTGCCCTTGGGGAGGATCTGAGCGGAAGGCAGCTCTCCCTGCCCTGCTATGAACAGTCCCCGGGCCAGGGCCCCAGGTCAGAGTTAGCCAGGAGGAGAAACATGTCCTCTTTGAAATGGGCCACACTTTGGATCGACCCTCATGCCACAAGAAGTTGTTGAGTGACATGGTCTCTCTAGTTCAACAGGCACCAGGTAGGCTGCTCCGAGTGCCCAGCTCTTTCCTGTCTTGGCATAGCTAAGCACCCATGGTGTTCCCCGTGGCTCCTGCAGGCTTTCCAGCCTCCCTGAACTTGTGTTCACCTGCTCTGGGTGGCCCTCCTTCCCCAGGCCTGCTCTGCCATCCTGGCTACTGTCCTTGGGTACCCACAGGGTAGGTGGGAGGGGCCCTGAGCTCAGTGGGTTGGGCCAGGTTGGGGTGCAGGATGAGAAGGTGGGCAATGCCTGTAGATGGCCTCAGTGCCCATCCCAGCAGCTCGAGCCCTGCTCCAGCCTCTGGAAAGCCCCATAGGGCTTTCTACCCCTAAGGCTTACTTTTCTTGGCTGTCAGTGCTTAGGAGTAGAGATTGGTGGAGCTGCTTGGCACAAGTCCTGTAGGGTGTTTATTTTCCCCAGGCTCCTCCCCAGGACCGTCTCTCACGCCCCCGGTCTGGACCGGCTCTGGTCGGAGCGGCGGGAGGACTGTCAGGCACACCGGGGCGGCAGGGGGCCTGTGTGCCTCGCTAGCAGGAAGGACGCCAGGTACTTCTCAGCGCCTGCCTGCTTGGCCTCCGCCCAAATCACTTCCTCGTGCATGATTGTTGCATCGCCGTAGTCCTGGAGCTGGTGGGGCCGTTGGCAGCCAGTGCAGATGCTCCCTCGGCGTGGACCCTGGTCATGATGGTGCTCAGCCTTCCTGTCCTGCGTTCAGGGACCTGGATCCCAGGGATAAGCAAAGTGTCCTGGGGCCCAGGGACCGCATGGGGCTCATGGCTTATGCCATGCTCGGGGTTCATTGGGGGGTGATAGGCAGCCTTTTTCAGGACTTGGCCCGAGGCTCGTGGTTTTGCAATTCTTGCATTCGTGTGCCCACTCTTCCACGTGCTCAAGATCATGTTTCTGCCTGGCGGACTATCTTCCTTTCCTCTCCAAGGGGTGAATACGTAAACCAGCCTCATCGCTCCTGTTACTCTTGGGATTGGTCTGCCTGTCTGGGTGCCCCCGTGGAATTGAGGGACATGAAGGTGCAGCGGGGGTGGGCATGGATCAGGGGGTATAAAGTGGTAGGAGGTGGAGGGCATTTCAAGGGCTGTGCCAGCTTCCAAAGCCCAACAGATTATTCTGTGTGCCGCCTTGGGTGTTTCCTACAGAAGTTAACCCATGTTCTGATTACCTACTTTTTCCCTAAGTAATTGGGAAACAGCAGAACCCTTTGTATTTGCAACATTCATATGCCAGGTGACAGCCTGGCTATTTCTCAGGTGCTCCCCGGGAAAGGAGTTCTAAGGGCAGATGCTGGGAGGGGCTGGGAAGGCTGGGGTAAGTGGCATTCCTGGACTTCTTCCCTGGCATTTGATATTCGGGTAGGCGGCATTTCCTGCTGACGTAGCCACATACTCCTGGCCCACTTTCTGATGCCGTGTCCATAAGACACACAACACACTTTGGGAATCGGGCCTTTAGCTATTGGAGAAAACCCGATCTTACACTGTACAATGGTAGCCGAGGTGGGCTCATCCGGTCAGTCATTTCTCTATGGAAAGAAAATTTGAAATAAGTCCTGAATGGGCATGTATCCTTCCATGGTGTAGTGTCTCCTTGGAGTGGGGGTGCCCAGCTCACTGGGGCCCCAGGTGGCTGCTGCAGGACATTGAGCCCCAAGGCCCCTGCGGCCACCATCACGCGTGGCTGGGGTGGTGCTGCCCCCTGGTGTCAGGTGGTGGAGTCGCCATCCCTTCTTTGAGCTTCTAACTGGCTTCTCCCTTTTTTTTTTTCCAGACCGCAAGTCCATCTTCTTCAACAGCCACAACGTGTCCAAGCCGGAGTCATCATCGGTTCTGACTGAGGTATGTCCCTCCCGCCGTGCTGGCCTGCCATGGGCCCGATGTGGGTGTGCTCTTGGCAATGGGGCTCAGGCCTGAGCTCTCCAATGCAGCAGGGTTTGGGGGGACCTTTTCCCCATGCCATGGGCCTGAGGAGGTTCCCAAGGCCCTCCTGCTTGCTTGCTCCAGGCCTTCGTGCTGATGACATTCATGCTTATACCTGCTCACCACCAGGTTACCCAAGGGGGAAGATTTTCCAGTGCTTCTCCCTGTGTGAGAAAATCCCTCCCAGTCAGGAGGAATTTGATAACCTGCTTTTTACTGATTTAAAAAAAGGGGTGGGAGGCAATGCCATCTCTTTTCCCACATGAGTCTCATAAGTGTTAAGAGCCCGCTGTTACTTCTGTGGTCAGTGAGCTCGGGGCTGCTGTGTGTCACGCTCCCTCCTGGATGCCCTGTAGCATTGCAGCCAGGCCCCGAGCCAGCCTCGAGGGGGCAGAGTGGGCAGGGCAGCTGCACTTTCCCAAGAGGGAAGGCTGTGCTCAGTGAGGCTGTATGGCTTCTTTGAGCTCACAGGGCTGTTCACTCAGGGACAGAGCTGGGACTTGACCCCAGATAGGTCTAATTCCAGAGCTAGGTCTCCCAGGAATTTAGGACTTTTTATCTCACGGGGGACAATGAAGCAGTTAGAAACTGCCACAGGGCCATCCTTTGCTGTCCCTCCAAGTCCAGGAAACCAGAAGCCTCTGCTATCATGTCCTCTGAACTGGGAGCCTTCTGCTGGGTCTCCTGCTCCCCTGAGTCAAGCCATCCTGGCTAACTGGGGATGATTTGCCCATGTCCCCTTCCCTGTCCTGGGCTGGCCTCACCAACAGGATCCAGCGCAGACCCTGCCCTGGACCTGACCTCACTACCTTTGTTCCATGTCAGGGCCTGTGCTTGCCTCATGCCTCCTGCCCCGAGGCAGCCTGTCCATTTCTTGTTGTTCCTGGTTCAGTTGAGGAGCCAGCTGTGTGACGAGGGTTTGGACTGAGCACAGGGGTGGACAGGACCTGGAGGGAACACCACCCTTCAAGATGTCGATGAACATTTCTCAGGAACAAGTTTCACAGTCAGGGAAGCTTGGGGAATGACCAGATTTTAAACAGTACCTTCTGGTGCCTGGCTGTGCGCATTATAAGATTAAACAGACTGCCCAAGAAAGGGCTTTAAAAAAAAAAAAAAGTTGTCTGGTCTCCTAAGCCTCAGACACTAGGTGAGCCCAGTTCTGCAGGGCCCTTCCCTGTGAGGCTGTCAGGCGGCGCTCGGGCAGGGCAGAGGGAGTCGGCTTCCCCAAACGCTGTCCCTGCCAATCCCTACACAGAGTGGGACTAGTGACCCCTACACAGAGCGGGTCTGTCACTGATGCCAGAGGGTCCCTGTGAGGCCATACGCAGAGTGACCCACCTGAAAGTGATCATCTTGGACAACCTGTCTTCCTATTCAGTCTGTTTCTTTACCGGTAACGTGTAAGAGGCAGCCTAGGGGTACTTCCAGGCCTTCTCTGTACCTGCTGGGTCTGCCATTGTCTTTTCCTCCCCCTGCTCATGACTACTGCTCAAGAATCCCCCGAGACTGGAAAGGGAACTGTAGTCAGCCACCCCCTTTCCGTTTAGGACATATGCCCCTCCTGCCACCTGCAGGCTGGCTGGGCACAGACAGCTCCGTCCAGACTTTCCCATTTTCCCCCTGCTCCCCGAGGGGGCCCTCCATCCCCTTCTCTGTCTTCTGCAGGGAGCCCTGTCTGGCCTTGAAGCCCCCTCCATCCATAGCTAGATGCCTCAGCTCCCACACCCAGTTTGCAGGCCCCAAACACTTGTGTAGGGTATTGGTTAAGAGTGTGTTCACTGACTAGACTGCCGGGGTCAGACCCAAGCTCCACAACTTCCCAGCTGTGTGGCCTTAGGAGAGTCACATTGCCTCTCTGAGCCTCAGTTTCTCCATCCTGCATGGCAGGGTGGTTGTGGGTTCAGGGAGTCCTAGGACGGTGCCAGGTGAGCAGGAAGTGCCAGGCAGTGTAGCTCACTTCCCCCATCACGGTCTCATCTTCCAGAACACTATCGTCTCCCTGCTGTGTATGGCATGGCCAGGGTTTCCATGCCTTTATCTTGTCCTAGGCGGTTCTTTGGTTTCAGGTAATCGAAGGGCTTTGGAAGGATTTCTGAGATTCCTCACCTAAGCTGAGAAAGTGCTTTTATAAACAGCATGTCATGAGACTTCGGACTAATGCAGTACCCTGAGCTCTAGCTGCTGCTGGGTCTGCATTGTGAGCCTTAAACATTAGCTGCTGTGTTGTTTTTTTTAGTTTTTAACTTTTTAATATGTTTTTACTGATTTCACAGAGGAGGAAGGGAGAGGGAGAGAAAGAGAGAAACATCCATGATAAGAGAGCGTCATTGATCAGCTCTCCTCTGCACGGCCCCTACTGGGGATCGAGCCCGCAACCCGGGCATGTGCTCTGACCGGGAATCTAACCGTGATCTCCTAGTTCATAGGTCGATGCTCAACCACTGAGCCACGCCGGCCGGGCAAACATTAGGTTCTTGGATCCTTACCACAGTCCCACAGTGTGGGTGTCTGTGTTACCCCCCTTACCAGGTGAGAAAACAAGACCCAGAAGGTCCCTGGGGTTCAGAGCACCCAGTGGGCAGGACAAAAAGGGGAGCTGCCGCGTGCGGCGGAGCCTCTGGCTCCTCACTGGCCAGAGTGGCCAGGAGGCGGGCAGGTGCTCAGTGGTGAGCGCCCGTCACAGCCCCTTGGAAGGTGTTACCCCCCCATAAGGTGCCAAGACAGAGGGTCTGGGCTGAGGGGCCCTGCCTTGTGTGCAGAGCCAGTGGGGGGGAGCAGGTTCACACTGGAGCACAGACCCTGCCCGTGTATGGGGTCCCCGCTCGCACGAGTTTGGAAATTCCCATTCACCATGCAGCTTCCTGTGCTGGGACAGGGACCCTTTGTCCTTGGTGCCCAGGGCTCTCCTCCGAAGCCCTCCTGACCCAGCCTCACTTTTAAAAAAGTGAACAAGTCAGTGGTGTGAAGTCTGTTTACCATGTTATGCAGCCACCCCTCTACCTAGTTCCCAGACATTTCTGTCACCGGCCAAGGAACCCCCGTCACCCCTCCTAGTCCCTGGCAACCACTGCTCTGCTTTGTCTCTATGGGTCCACCCCTCCTGGGCCTTTCTTATGAAGGGACTCTTGCAGTATGTGACCTGGTGTGACTGGCTTTTTCACTTAGCCAGGTTTTCCAGGCTCATCCCCGTGGCAGCACTGTGTGGCCGAGGAGTCCTCCCGTGTGGGTGACACAGCCTGTTTATCATCTGTCGATGGACAGTTCAGTTGTTTCTACCTTTTGGCCCTTGTGAATGATGCTGTATGAACACTGGCATACAAGTACCTACTTTCATTTCTTTTGGGTGCATACCTAGCAGTGGAATTGCTGGGTCATAAGTAAATCTGTGTTTAACTCTGACCCAGTTTCACTTTTATTCCTGATAGATCAGTCCCTCTTTGGCCCCTGAGCCCACAGTTCCCAGGACTCCAGCATTTGAGCACCTCCTGTGAGCCCTAGTCTGGCTGACTTAGAGGTGTCACCGTGTGTTCCTGCCCCAGTCAGGCATGCGCTGCACCCACCACATCCGCGACCTATGGTCCCTCCCAGCAGTCTGGGGTGGAAGTCTCATTGGTTTGGTTTTGCAGATGAGCAAACAGGCACAGAGAGGCACATCTTTTTCCCCAAGACCACAGAGTTAGGAAGTCGCTGTTGGGGTTCAAATCCAGATGCCTCTGACTCTGAGTCCTTCCCAGTGCAACCTTGCACTTCCTTGGAAGCCTGGCTAGGGGCTGGGCTGAGTCTATGAAGACTGTGCCTGTCCCAGGCCAGCTGAGATTGGAGCAGAAAAGGAACAGAGGGGGTGAGGAGGCGGAGGACAGCCCACTAGCCCCAGGGAAGATTCGCTGAAAGCTCAACTTGGACGCAGGGATCTGGTGGGAACAGTAGTGTAACCTCTTTGGGGAAGCCCATTGCCATGGGATGCGAGTTCGTTGGAAACACCATAATTAGGTGCTGCTGTGAACAGGAGATTGGTGAGCCCCACCCCCAGTACTGAGCAGTAAATAAACGTTGGTCCCTAAAACCCTCCCCCTTGCTGCCTGAGGCCTGGCCACGGTGGGCCAGTGTGGAGATGCTGACCGAGTTCCCCAGCTCCCACATCTGCCCTGGCTCCCAGCTGCTCCCAGCTCCTGCAGGTTCTTGCCTCTGCACCTTTGCTTCCAGCTGCCCTCGCCTGGTGCCTTTCTCCTCCCAGCTCATCCCCACCTTCCAGGTCCAGTTCATGCTCCCTGCCCCAAGGAGTCTTCCTGTTCGCAACAGACCACGCCCCTCCTTCCTTCTCAGACGGTTGGGTTTTAGAGGCTAACACACCTGCGTACAAATCCAGCCCTGGATTCCTGTGCTGTGTGGCCCTGGACCAGCCCCTCACCCTTTCTGAGCGTCAGCTTCCCTGTGTGTAAAGTGCTGGTAATGACCCCCACCTCCCAGGTTGTTCTAGGGCTGGAGAGGTAATGGGCACAGTACACCTAGGACCTGCCTCCTGGCCTGAGGGTCTTTGTGTGGTGTGGCTCTGTGCCTCCCCACTGATGGCCTGACTCCTCTGTGTGTGTGTGTGTGTGGTGCGTTGGCAGCTGGACAAGATCGAGGGTGTGTTCGAGCGGCCAAGCGACGAGGTAATCCGGGAGCTCTCCAGGGCGCTGCGGCAGGCACTGGGCGTGTCTCTCTTCGGCATCGACATCATCATCAACAACCAGACAGGGCAGCATGCTGTCATTGACATCAATGCCTTCCCAGGTGAGCAGCGGGGACTGTGTCCTCAGGCAGGTGACGGGGCAGGCTCCATTCCTCACTGTCTGTGGGGCCTGGGGGTAAATGCAGCCCCCCACTAAGCCTCAGCCCCACTTGCTAATGGGGTTACAGGGTGAGAGGAGGAGCGAAAGAAGTGAGGTCTGAACATCCAGCCAGGGAGCGTGCATAGTGGGCCCGCACAAACACGTATTCTCTCACCCTCCTCTCCTGACCCTTTTTCATCAGTGTTTGCCTTTATTGGCCAAATCTCAGCCGATCCCATGTAGATTTAAAGAACTGAGAGGACACTGGACAGAATAGTACCCTCACAGGTTATGTGTAGAGCATTGTACCCCCAGAGAGGGATACCTTGTCCCAGGTCACCCTGTAGGCTGGTGGCAGGGCTGTGCTCCTCACCCTTCCCCATGGCTGGGGCATGTGCTCCCTGCTGTTTGCTAGAGCTCTGAGGTGGGGGAAGCACATGCTGGGCCCTTGTGGTCTTGCCTCAGCGAGGGGCTCAGTGGGAGACACCACCACGTGGGTACTGTCCTGGGGCGTTTGCAGGGTGCAAGGAAGCCCTCACGCACAGGAGGTCTCCCAGGGCATCAGGCCCTGGGCTGGCTGCCTTGGGCCGTGGGTGTTCAGTGGCCCTCCTGTCCAAGGGGGCTGTGTGCTGCGTCTGGGGGTTAGTAGCAGCAGTAGCTTCGGGTGTCCGTAACATTCACCAGGCCAGGCCTGCCCTGGGAGCTTTACAGCACCTCATTCACCAATGGGGATGCGGAGGCTGGGGCTAGAAAACTTGTTCAAAGTCACCTGCTACCAAGTGGCAGAGCCAGAATAGGGGCCCTCTGCTCCTGGCCACAAGACTTCCTACCTCTCAGCCCCAGCTGGGTTCCCATCCTGGCTCTGCCTTCACAGTCTGATGGGACAAGCCACCTGGCGGGGCAGTCTCAGTGTTCACTTCTGCACAGTGGGAACAGTGTTCCCCACCTCACAGAGGCAGGGGAGATGGTGTTTGCACAGTCTGGCCCCGAGCTGTGGGCCCAAATACACACACACTGCCCTGGGCCTCCAGGCCTCATCTAGGGACAACAGAGCCGTTGCTGAGGAAACGGCCTGTTCCCTGGTGTTGGCCTGACGTGCTCTCCAGCTCTCCTCCCACGCTTGTGTCTCTGCCCTGGAAACCCAGCAGTGCACCCACTGGTGGCTCCCAAGGGGACCGAGTCCACCCTGCCCTCCTCCCCCAGCCCTACGGCTGAAAGAAGCCCCCCGTCCTGGGGTGGGGTGCCCAGCACCACATGGTATTCAAGGCGCAGGTGGGACCAAAGGGCCTGGTTCAGATCCTGGCTGTCACTTAGGAGAGTTGTGTCCTCGCCTGTAAAACGGGCGGTGCTCCGTGAGGCTGGATACACACCAGCCGGGGCATCGTTGCCATCCCCACCCTCACATGGACAGTCACACGTCCCTGTCGATGGCTCTGTCTCTGGGGCCAGTCGTCTGTAGCCTTTGGCTCTTGCTCCTTCATCGGTAATGTGGGGACAGAGTTGTGCAGATTAGGCGAGGGTTGTGTCCATGGGAGCTCTGCCAAGTGCCAGCCACTGTCCCCGGTTTTATCTCACGGTGGGCACCTCTGCTCCCCTCTCATCTTGGGCTCCCTCAAGACCCAGCAATTGTTTGTGAGCAAATGCAGCAGCCCCGCCTGTCAGTGATGGGCAGACTTTTCTATAAAGTTCCTGCACCCCCCCCACCCCCCAATTCCTGAACCTTCGTTCACACCGTGGCGGTGATGGGCTCATAGCCACGCGGGTGGGGTGAGGGCAGTGCCTGGGGTCCCTCTGAAGCGGGCACACTGGCCTTCAGGGTGTTCTTCCTGCCGTGACCCTTGTTCTTGCAGCTATGTGCCTGCTTCCTATTGTGCCAGATTGGTTTAGGAAGGTGGGGACACCCATGTGTCTTTTGAAGCAGTTTTTGGGAGTCAGCAAAATCTTTGCCCTAGATTCTCACTCTGCTCAGCGGGCGGCTCCCAAGGACACGTTTGCTGACATTTGCATTCGCATCGTGGTGGGAAACGCAGGCCCCAGCAGTTTCTGTTCAGGAGACCTGGGCCCCACTTTGTCAGGGGAGCTGGTGTCAGTGTGCGGTAGCCTTGTGGCGGGTGCTCAGTCTTTGCCCCTTGGCTTTTTTTTTTCAATCCTCACCCAAGGATATTTTTCCACTGCTTTACAGAGAGAGTGGAAGGGAGAGAGAGACATCGATGTGAGAGAGACATATCAATTGGTTGCCTTCTGCTTGAGCGCCAACTGGGGCCAGGGATCGAGCCTGCAACCGAGGTATGTGCCCTTGGCTGGAATCGAACCCAGGACCCTTCAGTCCATGTGCCAACGCTCTAACCACTGACCCAAACTGGCCAGGGCTTTGCCCATTGGCTTTGATGCTCAGAGCAGCACATGCATATGCAGCACATGCAATACTCTGCAGGTATTTTGGGGGTGAGGACTCAGTTGTGGGTACAGCTGCTGTGGATCAGGCATCACCCACATTGCCAGCCCCCCTCGGTCATGCCCACAGGAGTCTCCCCGAGAGTTCTCAGCTGACACGGGAAGCTGAGGCCGGGCCACGTGGTGGACAGGGGTGTTAATGATTCAGCACATAAGTGGGCCTTTGGACCTGTCACTTCCAACCAGACCACATGATTAAATGAGCCTCTGAAGCTGTGCCCGAGAGGGACAGGGTCACGGAGTGTTTTCTCATCAGCTCAGGTTCTATAGCTTCTCACACTCGGGTGCGGGGAACTCGAGGACCAGCCGTTTGGAAGTCCGTGCACCCAGCTTTGAGTCCTGCCGTGTGACTTTGATTGGCCCCCTTCCCTCCTGTGCTGCTCTCCCCTCGGGCCTGCAGCCTGTGTCCAGTTCCACCTGGCTAAGCCCCGCACTGTCTCTCTCCCAGGCTACGAGGGCGTGAGCGAGTTCTTCACAGACCTCCTGAACCACATTGCCACCGTCCTGCAGGGCCAGAGCGCGGCCACCGCAGCTGCAGGGGATGTGGCCCCACTGAGGCACAGCAGGCTCCTGGCGGAGCAGGCGGACAGCCTTGCAGGCGAGCGGACGTGCAGCGCCAGCCCCGGCTGCTGCAGCAGCATGATGGGCCAGGACCCGCCCTGGACCGCCGAGGCCGACGCGGGCGGCGTGGGTGCGAGCGGCACCGCCAAGCTGCCGCACCAGAGACTGGGGTGCACCTCTGCCGTGTCACCCAGCTTCCAGCAGCATTGTGTGGCCTCCCTGGCCACCAAGGCCTCCTCCCAGTAGCCACGGAGCCCAGGACCCAGAGGGCGGCGTGGGCCACGGAGCACAGCCACTGGGCGAGCAGCCCCCAGTGCTGACATCCTACTAAGAATTCCCAATGGTCTGATTTTTTTTCAATTTTTAACCTTATTTTCTGATGTCATTACCTAAATGAGGGGTTGGGGGGAAGATGGAAAAGAACCCCAGTGGTCCAGCCTCCTGGAAAAGGGACTTCCTGCCTGATTCCTGCTGTGCAGACCTCTTCACCGAGTTTACTCATGCGTGTGTTTTCAACACTAGGTCTGAATGGAGGAAGGGTGTGTGTGCGCGTGTGTGGTTGCTGTGCATGTGCGAGTGTGTGTGCACATCCATGTCTTGGTCTCGATGGCTGCTGCGGACCAGGCCTGGAGGGCCCTGCAAGGGCCACCCTTGGTTAGGCTGCCGGCTCTGAATGGAGCAAGTGGACGGTTCCCCCTTTCTCTCTCCTCTCCAAGCCCCCCCCCAGGCTGGCCCCTTAGCTGGTTCCCTTCCACTGGCCTCCTCCACAGCTTTGGGAGGAGCGAGTCGAGACCCCAGCAGGTGTGCACTGCCCTTCCCAAAAGCAAGAGCCAGGGAGGTGAGAGGCCGCAGCTACCGGTTCCTGGGGTTTCCGTGGAGGGGTCTGGACCGTTGCTGCTTGCTTCTCCGGGAAGGGAAGGAGAAGGAAGCTTCCCAGGGGAGGCCAAGGGCCTGGATTCGCTGCCTCCACACCCAGCTCCCTGGAGCCTACCCAGCCCTCACCACGTGTCCTGTGCAGCCCTGCAAGGGGCCTCCTTCCTTACCAAGCACTGCTGCTCATCGGGACCTGGGAGGAGGCTGCCTGGTTGGGGGCCCGCAGGCTGATCCTGCCCGTGCCAAGGATTTGTGCCATGACTTTGGGCAAATCATCCCAAGAGTCACCGGACCTCTGTGTCCACGGTCAAGACCAGAACTCTGAAGGGCAGGCTTGACGCCCCAGCCCCTGTGACGCAGCCTGCTTTCCCAAGAAGTGAACCTGGACGAACCTCCCCTTGGCATTGAGGCCACGTGGGGTCCCCTTCCCAGGCAGAAGGGGCCGCCCATGTGCTCAGTCCTGTTCACACCGGCCTGTGCCACCCTTACCCAGAAGGCCTCACCCCCTTCCTGTAGTCACTGCAGCCCCAAGCATTGAGCCAGCCAGGTGGCAGGGAGCGGCAGCCCAGAGGTGATACCCCTCCCCAGTTAGAGTCACCCCAGCCCCTGGTGGCAGCACAGACCACCATCTGATTGTCACATCCCAGGGTCCAGGCAGGCTGGTAGCTCCCTCTTCAGAGGGGCCAGTGAGAGGCTTTGTCTGTCCTGGGACAATGTGAGCACTGGGAGAGATGCATAGAACCCCCTGAGCATGATCTTGGGTCTAAGATACCAATTGACTGAGAAAGAGGAAAACCCCTGGGCTGTCCCGCATGGTCCAGGAGGATGGCCTGAGAGGCTGCTGAGCTGCATGCTTGGAGGTACCTCCGGGTGTGGCTCAGTGGGGAGCAGGGGCTGCCATCAGAACTGCCCACTGTCCTGGACACAGGGCCCGCTAACTAACCGTGTTTACACGACTTAAGTGTTGAACCCCGATTATAATGTCTGTATGTCACCTTCCTCGCTGCCCTGAGCCCTGTCCCAGGAAGCAGGGAAGCGTGACTGGCCTCTTGCACTGCTTTGTCTCCAAAATAAACTACTGAAATCAGACTGTGTCTCACACGTGTTTATATGATGTTGCTAAGAGTCTGTGATTTCCCAGTCTCTCTACCTTTTTGAATAAAATTCTAATCCCAACTTGCCTCAAGAGCAGGTGGGAACTGCAGTGGGACCCCTGACCATCTCATGTTCTTGGATGATTCAGTGTCGTGCATGTCAGCACCCAGGCCCCAGATATCAAGTAACCGTTTTCCAGTGACGTGGCGTTTTCCACTAGCCTCGCTGCGGGTGGTGGATACGGTCATTGGTTTTTCTGGGAGTGGAAACCGAGGGGGCAGTTTAGCCTCATAAAGGCAGGGGAGCTGCCAGGTGGTGGGAAAGGGCCCAGCCGCACCCCAGGCATGTGCGGGCCTCTCCTCCCAGGCTCATGACTACCGTGTGGCAAACAGTGGCTGTCTGAAGGGGTTTAATGAACTGTGTCAGGGAGCATAGTGGAGGAACTGGGCACCCTTCCCCCACTCGCCTCCCACGCCACGTGGGTGCACACTGACACTCCATAGAGTTGGTTTCCCCTTAGGCCTCATTGTCACTGGCCTCTCTACCAATGGTGGGCATATTGGGGTCTGTGGTCCTGCAGCGTCTGGTGGCAACTGGCAGGGCCCCATTTTGGCTGAGGCCTTCGGTAGGTTCGGAGGGTCACATGTGAGATCTCAGCCCCAACTGAGTGCGGACACTGGGTGTGTGTCCCACCAGGAGAGCCCAGAGGCGTCTGAGAGGAGGGTCCTCGCCGTTGGTAGCGTGCAGGTGTCCAGTATTGCAACACCAAGTGGGGCGGGCTGGGCCTGGAGCCACTAGCATCGCCTGCGGAAGGCAGACCCTGCTGGTGCCGAGGAGTCAGCAGGGCGTCCTGGAAGTGGGCCTTGCCTGTATCTTTAATTCTATCACCGAGGGAGAAAACCTTGCTTGAAAAGATTTCCTCTGCCCAGAGGACTGGGCTTTATGGAGGTTGAAGAACCCAGCAGGAAGCTGGAGTTTACGAGCCCACTGGGAAAAGCAGCTGTTGTCTGTTCTTGTGCCAGCCTGGGAGACAGGCCCTCAGCTTGGGCACTCATGCTGGCCGCTGGCCACGAGAGCCATCCAGTGGCTTCACTCATGGCCCTGGGGTTGGCATCTGCTCTCTCCTCTGTCCCATGGAAACCGATCCTTCACCTGGTGAGATCCCGACAGCCCCACTCCCTTTTTAGGTCATGGATCAAGAGCCCTGAGCTGCTTAGACCTTAAGCTGGGAGCCGGCTGTCCTGCAGGAGCCTGTCCCCTCCACCGTGCCCACCACGAGGCAGAGAAGGGCATCATTTCTTCACAAAAGTTCTGGGCTCCTCCCTCCTCGGTCAGCCTGGCCACACCCTGATGCCACTTACATCCGCCCTGCCCGTGCCTGCTCCTGAGCCTGAGGCTGAGATGGTGTGGCCTTCAGACAGGCAATTCCCCCGTCGGCCCTCCTCTCCCTGACAGGGCCCTGCCTCTGCCCCTTCTCTGCACAGCATTGCCAGTGTGACCTTGGAGCGCCCTAAACACACTGTTCAGAGGGGAGCTGTTACAGAACGACCTGGGCCCCATCCCTCTGTTCTGACCACTAGGGGCCTTTTCCAGGATGGTCACATCTTCCCTTTACTTCCAGAGTTGTCCGTGACTTGGCGGCTTGGCCACAGCCTGACGCCTTCTCCCAGCGTGAAGTGGGGTCAGACCCTCGGCAGCTTGCTCTCCGGAAAGGCTTCCTGCAGCGTGGTCACCACCACGCTGGCAGCTCTGATTCTAGTGCTGCCATCGTGTCACAGATGCTACTTCAACCCTGTTCCTAAGCAGCGCTGGCCAGAGCCCCAAGCTGGCTTTTACCTAGTCTGTGCACATACATGCACATAATGTTTATATGGACGTGTCCACCATATGTAAAAGCATGCTTCTGTGCAAACCAAGGTCCACTGGCTCTTTTGAGTTGGTTGCATGTTTGCCCCGTGGGGTTGGGATTATGACAGGTGGCCCGTCTTTGGGATGCGTTATTTCAGGGACAAGGTGACTGGTGTTCCCTCCATTTGCTAACTAGTCTTAGTGGATGTTTGACCAGCCAGAGGAAAACAGCATTGTTGTCAGACTGAAGTTGGGGATGGAGGGCAAACCTGTCTCTGAAAAACGTGAATAAATAGACACCTTGTAGCACAAGCTTCCTGGAAGGTGCCCCCCTGGGCTTTGGAGGATGGGCGTCGGCAGCAGTGGGCATCCCCCGCCCGCTTCACAGAAGAGGCCCAGACTTGCCAAGACCTCTCCAATGCCTTGTGTGGTCGTCATAGTGGTTTTCTGATCCAGGCCACCTGGGCCTCTAGAATCCCCACCATACTGAGGAGATGAGGAAACTGAGGCTCCGAGAGAGCCAGCGACGTTTGCCTGAGCTCCCCAGCTAGACAGGATTTCAACTTCTGTCTGACATCAAAACCCACATTTCTGGGCAGTGGCTCCTTGAAGGGAGGGCTCGTCCCGTTCACCTGGGAGCTCAGGTCCTACAGGCCCACGGCAGCCACTACAGATGTTTGCTGGACGACTGGACAGCCCTGATCTCAGCGGGTCCACGCGGGTCCAGGGCATCCACCCAGTCCATTCTGATGTGTAATGCATGTTTTGGGTGTCACCCTTGCCTGTGACCTTGATGAGTCATTTCACCTTGTGAGCCTCAGTTTCCTGAGACAGCCCTGCCATGTTCTAGTGAACAGTTAAATGTACAAGAACTTCAGACGCCCCAGATTCCCGTGCACGTACCATGTTGGGGTGGCAGATTCATGCCAAAGGCCTTGGTGGCAGCACTTCCCACTCCACCCCCACCCCGGGGGGCTGTCAGGGCCTCTCCCCAGCACCATGGAGAGCAGATGCTGTTTCCCAAACTCACCCCACCTTTCAGGGCCCAGCTCAGGTGTGGCTGGGAAGTGAGGGAGAGGAAGGAACCGGGGCCCCTTTGCATGTAGTATTTAATCCCCACGCACTGTGAGGCAGATGTCAGCACCCCATTTTAGAAAAGATGAGAAAACTGATGCCCTTGCTCAAGATCCCATGGCTAGGAAGCTGCCCAGAGTTGCCCAGAGGGACCGAACCTCCCCTTGTCCCTTTGCCAGAAACCAGTCCATCCCACCTCACTGAGTCAAGAGGGGGAAGGGTTCACAGAAACAGGAGAGAGCCCAGAGCAGGTTTATTTTTCCTTTGAGACAGTTTGTACAGGATATATTACATTCAGGAGTTCTCAGCTTTCACCGAAAGGTCAGAGGTTATTGCAGTTGTGCCAATGGCTCTGATGTGGAAGGAAAAATTCTAGAAAGCTTCCTGTGTTCAGAGAGAGGATCATCGTTTAAAGTCGCAGGGGTCTGCCCTGCAGAGGGGCGCACTGGGGTCAAGAGCAGGAGGAAAGGGGCATGGGAGCAACAGGGTGGCCTGGGCCAGGGCAGGCTGGAGCCGCCTGCCTACCAGAAGCAATGCACAGGTCGGCTGGCCAGGACCTGTAAAGGGGACAACAGAGCCAGGACCACAGGATGCCTGGGGGCCCTGACTGGTGGGGACAGCGGGCGCCTCACCCCCGCCGCAGTGCCTGCAACTGCTGGGCCACCTTCTCCAGCTCCGCCTCAATGGCTGACAGGCTCTCCAGCTCCTGGTCCTAGGAGAGAAGGCGAGGTTATGCAGGGACTGGCCCAGGGAGCAGTGCCAGCATCGTGGAGCATGCAGGCAGCCAGACTGGTTGTGCCGCTGGCTAGCTGTGTGGCCTTAGACATGTGGCTCTGCCTCTCTCAGCTTCAGAGGCCTCTGTGTACCATGGAGACGGTTTTGCCACCCTACAGGGCTGCTGAGTATTGTGCACAAGAATGTCAGGGAACAAGGGCCCTAACCCCACACCGCCCCTGGTGGCCTCTCATTCAGGCCTGCTGACTCCTGAATGGCTTCAGGAGGGCACGTGGAAAATGAAGCCACTGGTTCAGAGTTCCCGCCAGTCCCCATCCCAAGCGTGGGCTATGATGACGGCTCCCAGGGTGAGCCCAAGCCTGGGTTCCCTGTCTGCTGTAGGCCTCCCTGCCTCAGCTGCCCTGGGCCCATGACACAGGCTAGAGGCTGTGAGAGCTGCCTCCGTCTACCTGCCTCGGGCTGAGCATTCGATCCTTGGTCCCGATCTGGGGGCCCTGAGCTCTGGTTGACAGGGTGGTTCCTGGGCACATTCTGTGAGCCTGTATGGGTGCTCCAACCTCAAGAAGCTTCCAGGTGCCCAGAGCTGGCCTAATGCCCATGAGACTGTGCCCTCAAACCTGGAGCAGGCGTCAGGGAAGGCCATCCTCTGGCCTTGACCTGGGAGGGGCGGTCTCTCAGGGCCCCTGCCGGATGCCAGGCTGCAGAGTGTACCCTCCCCTCACCCCCACACTGGAATAGCACTGACAGCCCCACCAGGGGCCCATTTAGAACAGACATCAATGGTCGCCATAGAAACAGGGATCCAGAGCCCTTTGTCTTGGAGAAGCCCCTGGGGCATGAGTTCTGTGATGCTGGGGCCATTTCTAAGGAGACCCTTGGGCTGGGTGGAGTGGTCCCCGTTTCTCCTCCCTGCAGTCCGGGGCTCCCTCTGCCTGTGAGGAAGGCAGCTGGCCCGCCCAGCTCATTCTAGGATGGGGAAGGGGGTGATGGAAGTTGCCCAGCCTTGACCTGGGTCCAAAAGCTAGGGCTGAGGAACAAGCTGCTATTTCCTGTAGCCCTGTCCCCTTAGTCTCCTGGGGACATAGGCAGATGACATCCTTTGGCTCCAGCTGCCAAGAAAAAGCCGCCTCCTTTCAGGTTGCCAAGGCCCTGGTCCCAGACCCAGAGAAAGGGTTGGAGGCCTGAGAGAGGGGCTAGTTCTTTTCTGGGTGGACAGGTCCCAGCCCCCATAAGGTCCGGATTCCCACCTGGGCCCTGAGGCTTGAACCACTGACCACCCCCAAGGTCTCCTCCAGCTCCAAGGCTATGTCGCTTGCCTGCCAGGGACCCCAGCTCCCAGCCCTAGCCCTGGGCACGGCCAGGTGCTCCGAGCTCACGTGTATTCTGATCATGATAATGAGGTGAGCAGAAAGGAAGCCTTTCCCCCGTTTCACAAATGGGGCAACCCATGAGGTTCAGAGAAGGAGAGTGGCCTGCCCAAAGTCCCACAGCTAGAAGGAGGCAGAGCCCAGGTTTTCAGGCACCCACCTGCTTCCCCCACTCACTCACCCCCTGGCAGGAGGTCCAACCGGTCCTGCCCCCTCCCCCTCTGCTATTCAGGGGTGGGAGGCAGGGCCTGAACCTGGAGAGGAGGGTGTGCCTGGGTTGCTGGGTCCAGGAGAGGACCTGGCTGGACCAACCATGGGGTCTTCCCAGGACACCAACTGTCCCTTAAGTGTCCCGTCCTTTCATGCCCTCCCAGCTCTTGAGGCCAATGGTGCCCTGGGCTCGGATCCCCTAGGCAACAAGTGGCCCTGCTCAGGCCAGTCCCTGCCAGGTCCTTTGGTTTCCAAGCTCTGTCCCTCCAGAGCTCCAAGCTTCGCCCATTACTCTCGTCCTGCTCCCAAACCTGCGGGCTCCCTGCTGTCTTCAGGACAGTGGCCACTCAGCGCCCCTGGAGACCGGCCCAGCTCACACCTCCCCGGCTCCCACACGCTTCCCTGAGCGCGCCCGTCTCCAGCTTCACTGGGTGCCCTCTGCGAGCCGGGGTCACCTGCCGTCCGCCTGGCACGCCCCTTCTTCCCCTCCCCAGGCCCGCCCGCGCCCAGGCCTCCGCGGTGTCCCGGAGAGCCCCGTCTGAGCTCCTCTCCGGTCCCCGATTCCAGGGGGCAGCAGCCGCAGGTCTGGGTGCAGGCGCCCCCTGGGCCCACCCCGGGCCTGGCCGGCTCGCCGCCGCC